AAACTCGCTGACTGTCAGTGGTTTGCCCCCGCATTACCTCCGGCTCAAAATTGGATGCCCAATAATACTGTTGCGAAATATCGATCCCTCTAATGGCTTATGTAATGGCACCAGATTGATTTGTAGAGGTTTTCAACAAAACGTAATCGATGCAGAAATAGCTGTTGGTCAGCATGCTAGAAAGAGAGTATTTTTGCCGAGAATTCCTCTTTGTCCATCTGAAGATAACATGTTCYCGTTCAAATTGAAGAGAACAGTTTCCAGTCCGGCTTAACTTTTCTATGACAATCAATAAAGCTCAAGGACAGACCATTCCTAACGTAAGTGTGTATCTACCAGAATCAGTATTCTCTCACGGACAACTTTATGTGGCGTTATCAAGAGGGACATCACGTGAAAAATACAAAGGTATTAGTAAAGTCTGCCAAAAATTTCAATCGTGACGGAGGCTACACATCAAATGTGGTGTATCAAGAAGTTTTACGCGATTAATAAGGTACAAACAAGTACTTATTATTACACATTTTTTTACAACTACGYTTGGTACGTATCTATTATAATCATACGACATTTCTTACAGGGTATATGTGCATATGGATGCTTCAAGTGGTATCTTCTCATACTCTGAATATGTCGATTTATATTATTTTAGATGATTATATCCCCGTTTTGTTTAAACTTGATTTTTGGTTTTTTTTTTTTTGTTAATCATGAGTTGCATTAAGTGAAAATCATTATTAAACAATCTAAGAATAGCAATTGATGTGTGTTTGGAAATCCGTTAATCGTGCAATTCTTTTTTCAAATCTTCGCTCAATCAACCGTAATAAAATTTGAAGTTTATAATGATCATAAACGTCATACCTTCAATTTACAAAAAACATTCACATCCCGCCGCATTGCGCGGGTATCCAACTAGTGTATATATATATATATATATATATATAAACCATTGTGTCAAATACGAACAAAAATTGACATATATATGAACTTGGATTGCATAGCATTTATGAACATAATAAGAATCGCTACTACACCAAGGAAAATAAACAAAAAAAAAGGTATGAACACAATATGAACAGCTTGTGAACAATAGTTCCTTCATTATGAACACATTCATGAGCGAGCCAATGTTGAGATATGCAGCTAGTGTATATATGAACACAATATGAACACTTTTGAACAATTGTTCCTTTATTATGAGCACATTCAGGAGTGAGACAATGTTGAGATATGCAACTAGTGTACATATAAACACAACATGAACAACTTGTGAACAATAGTTCCTTCATTATGAACAATCGTATCCATAATAGCTTGAACAATATCGATTTATTACCGGGTCTCTTCTACCAATCACAAATTCCAAAACATTATAGATAGAAAAATCAATATTATAAAAAAAAGATAAGATCAATAATAAACTAACAAAAATTATAAATTCAATATTAGATGTCTTCATTCATGTCTCTACTAAAACATATATGAGCACACCTGAACGTATATGAACACTAGTTGCAGTCTATGGCAGTCAAKCATCACAAGCAGCTGATGGAGCCGAATGGTTATCAGAACTGGATTGCGTAACAAATTAAGTTGATGATGAACTCATCCATTTGAACATATGAATTRGGCTCGTAGTAATAATTAAAGAAAAARCTACCAACACAATATGAACTATAAAAAACACAAAAACGTCATAATCAACATAATTTCGATTAACACGAATACAATAATATATTAATCCATTACCAATACAAACGCTTTGATTATTGTCTTCATTTCCGGAACTCGAAATCCAATTGTCATTGTAAACCATTTTAATATTCTCATTGTTGTCGAGTTGTTTTCCAATGAGTTTATCCATATTAGCTTGAACRATATCGAAAACTTTACTATCRGATCTTCTTTAACAATCACAAATTCAAGAACATTATAAAATAGATAAATCAATATTACAGAAAAACAAGATCAATAGTAAATCAACAACAATTACGTGATTTTTTGATTTTGTAACTCTCAATTAATGATATGGGAGTTACATACAAACTAAAATTACATATTTACCTTTGTCATTAAACTATGAGATAAATATGAACCTAGATAAAAGATGGATTTTTATTGGTTGAGCTTGATTAACAAAGTTAACACAATAATCTTGGTTATATATTATAAGACCCGAGTGTTAAAAACTTACTCATTAACTTACCCGTACCATAGTTATAATAACGATAAATAATTACCCGAATCCTTCCTAAAGGTATAAGTTTTGTCTGTTTTTATTAGGGTGTTTATGTTGGGGTTATTGAGATTAGTTTATAATTGYCTTTTTGTCTAAGTTTACGGATTGATGTTGTTACAATTATGATACCTCTCATTTTTAGAATGCTAGAATTTGTTAAAATTGTTGTACAAATGAAAAAGGTAAAATATGGAATCAATATGGTTAGATTTGGTGATATAATTGAYCGCACACCAATTGTTCGATTAAATGCCTAAGAGAATAAAATTGCATGATTAAGCTTAGGATAATGATTATTTARCTTTGTTTTAGTGTTTATATGTTCAGGTATGTTTAGAGGATTCAAATATAGCAWATCATGGAATTTGGATCATAAAAGTTAGTTGAGAAATTGTGAAATCGAATTTTACCGACARTGCAGCTCCCRTACTTTGACAGTGTATAACTAACAAAAGATAAGTAGGAATAAGCTCRTATTTCGCAGTTAGAAATCCTTAACTGTATAATGCAAATTTCATGAAGGGTCAAAAAGCTAGTTATGAATCTAAGTGACTTGAAACAATGTGTTTTCGGGGCTATTTGCACTSTATTCGGGATTAATCTGTTGTTTGTAAAATTCGTATAAAATACATGGATAATCCAAATGAGGTGATTCTAAAACTGATAGATTCATTGTTGTTTCCTCCCGCCGTGTACAARATAAATTTTGTGGGCCGACTTCCCCAGAGCCTCCGGTAGCACAGCCGAGACAAAGAATTTAGAAATATCATATACTATATTACAACTTTCATTTAGATGGTATCTTCTGTATTGACYTCTAAGTGGGGTAAAAATGCTTTCGAAAATKAGGGATAAAAGCTGTTAAAAGCCSAGAACGGAATTATATAAAGCTAATTTTTGTGTTTGATTTCTTAATGCATATCCAGCTGTCCTATTTGAAGTTTAAGTTGTCTATAAACATATAGGACCAAAGTAACTTATTAGTAGAATTAGGATATGATTTTACATCGTCTAAATAATAACTGATTTATGCATTCGTTAGGCACGCGAGCAAGTCGAATCTTATCGTGAATCCCGTTTGATTGTGATTTATTTCTCTATTTTGCCTAAGATATGGATTTAACTTTCTTTGACTCTTGGGCAGCTAGTTGTTAGTTGACGTAACGGTGGTTCACCGCTTGGTAATTGATCACCTAAAAGTGGTCAACAAAATATGTATTTATGAATAAATCGTTGAACCTTTATTTTTAACAATTGAGTTTAGTCTATTGATTCTCATATTTGAAGTAGTTTTGAGTTTTATGAAGTATATTGAAACTTGATGTTTTATGAAAGTCATCCGGGTAGTGACACATGTTTAGTTTTATTGGTTTTCAACATCATCCAATTGATGAGCACATTAGTTGGGATGCCTTCTATGGCGACTTTATAGTCATGACGTTCTGCAAGTGAACTCGAGTCACAGGGTTAGGCCCAATAGTGGCTTACGTGAACCCACCTTGTGGACTATGCCGATTTTATTAGCTTCAGRGCRGATGGATCGATCCTAGGATTATCCCACCATGTGACCATGGTTAAATTCATAGGGAACTCGGGGTGTGTGCCCGCATACCGGCCAGATAGTTCGTGTGGTTTGGCCACCCCACGAACACTACATGAATTGACGGATTTTGTTTATATTATGTTTGAAATGAGAATTRTGAAACGTCTTGATTTTTCTATTAATTCAGTTTAATAGAATTGTAAGTTTTTCGCTTTATTATCGGTGTTATTTATTATTATTTCAAATTTATATTATAATTTGTTCACTGAGCCCCGTGTTCAATCGTGTTCTTGTTTTATGACACGACAGGTTCCAAATGATATTAATAGGAACTCGACTTGAGATCGAGCGTTTGACTTTTGGAGTTTGTAAACTCGTTTGTAGATGTTATATTCTWAGATTATAAATAGTTGTTAGAATGTAATTTTTTGGGTTGTAAAGCATGCTTTAAAAGTCAATCTATGCTTGGAGTTTATTAGTAAATCTGTAATGTTTGTGTTTTTGAATTAARTCTCATTAGTGACATCGTCCGTTCCTGACCACGTGGACGAGGAATGTGACATATACATATACATATACATATACGTTTCAGTATTAGTAATTGATTCAATGATAATTTATTATAATTTTGATTTTAATTTTTAAAAAATTACCTTTAATTTATTATAATTTTGATTTTAATTTTTAAAAAATTACTTTTTTTTTTTAACTAAATGGGTATCCAACGAGAATTCCTTTCCCGCACCTGTCAGGGATTAATAGGGACAGGGTCAGAAACRGGAGCATAAATGGGGGTTAGGAAATGGGATGTATTAGAGCATTTTCAACAACTTCTAAAAATGGAGAAAATAAGTATTTTGAGTCAATATTTTGTTTCAACTGATTTTCTAAAACCACCTCAAAATGGAGAAAGCAAGAGAGAACAATTTTTTTCTCCAAATATAAAGAACAACAAAAAAAATGATTACTATTTAAGACCATCAATAAGAAATTTTAAAAATAAATATTAAAAAAAGAAATAATATTTTAATAAATAAATGAAATATTTTAATATTATAATTAATATTAAAAAATTTAAAATAAAGAATTATATCGGAGATAATGCGATTTTTTTTTTTCAGAGTGTTTGATTTTTATATTTCCATTTTAAAGAAATTTTGGGGAATCTGGATGTTAAATACCTGCTCCAAACCCACAATTAGTAAAGAAAAAACATGAGGCGCTTGTAGGTTCCGCTGTGATTATGAACCCACATCAGCGAGTGACCAAATTGAGATAAAGCTCTCACACTGGATACGAAGCTTCCATTTCTGTCTCCTTGAGGTTAGGGCTTTTATCACACCCCACTGACGCTCGACGGCCGTCTTTTCTCCAAATTGTGGCATAATGTGTGACCAAGTCTCCCCTGCCTAATCGGTTACCCTAAGCAATCACATGGTAAATTACATTATGTCAGATGTTCTTGATCAATTGTTGCTGTGAAAATTTCAATCTCTGTTCTTGTTTATGTGGATATATTATGTTTGTTCATCACTAATCTGAATCGCTTTAATCACCTTGATTTTGTTTTACTTTTCATTTTGTGTTTGATTCATAATCGGGAGTCGGGACATCAGTTCTTGTAGKTTTTTTTTCACATGAGAGGATACTATCGGTCGATCAGGGAACTGATCTGCTTCAATTGATATCATCTGTTCGTTTTAGGGTTTGCGACTTCGGGTCGGAAGCACAATTTGGTTGTTCAGTTTTACCAAATGAAAGAAATGAGGCTACGGCCTTTTCGTACTGCTGGATGCATGGTTTAACATAGTATTTGTTCCATGTCGCTAGATTGTCAGATTACATATACGTATGTATGTGGTTTGGGCATTCTCCCTCCTTTGAGCTAGCATTTGGAGGTGAGTTATAGCCAAGCCCATTTATCCTGGTATTAGAGGGGGCTTTTGCAGGCAACGTGGGGAATGCATATATTTGTTTGTTTGGGCCACGGTTCTCATGCTAAGCATGAGGGATTTGTCGCACATCACCAAGTTGTCAAGTTACACACATGTATAAATGTGGTGCGACCACCCTCCTCCTTTGAGCTAACTTTTGGGATGGAGCTCTTCCCAAGGCCTTTATGACGCAGACCGTTTTGAATTCGGTATTATTTGGCACACCAAAGTGAGCGTAGAAGCAACCCCTTTGAGCAACTTTGTGGAGAACACAGGTTGGATAATAAGAGTTCAAAACCAAATAARAGCATCATCTGCACATATTAAGAAAAAAGGTTAGGTTACATGCCTGAAAGAACTTCAAATTTGATATATTGCCAGAGGTCCTTCCTCTTTCCCAAGTTTAGATTTGATTGATTTTGTATTCCCTTATTGTTTATGTTCTGTATAGTTGTCGTTTTGTACTCCAGTTTATCTGCGCACTTCTTACGGAGAGAATGTGAGATGAGAAGCAGATAAGAAATTGGAGAAAGGCAATGACGCACAAGAACATTTACGGTTACAATTGGTAAGAACAAGGTTTTAAAAAGCGGAATCAGGCCTCAAGGCATTTTCCTATTTCCCTCGGTGAGGCGAGGTGTACCTCGAGGCCGTCCGAGGCGTAAGCCGTGAAGAGGAAATGTGTATATATATACATACATATGTGTGTATAATACAATATTTATACAATATATATATACACACTAAATATATACAAAGTGGGAGACTGGAGAAGAAATAATATATATATATATATATATATACCTTCAAAGTGGGAAATAAAGTTCACAATTGTGATGCTCTCCAAATTGGGAGACTGGCGACATTGGAGAAGGCAAATCAAAACTACAAGAGCAGGAAAATCGGAGAATACAAGCAAAAGAATGTGCTTATTTCATATAAAGTAAAACCAGTTGGTCAATTTTTAAACCCTGATTTCTAACCCGCCTCAGCACCTCCTCAGTCTCGCCTCACTGCCTCAAGGCGTGCCTCAGTGGGTCGAGGCATACAACCCAACTAACCCACGGTTTCGCTATCATATGGACTCTCTAAATGGTTTAATTTCGTGTAATCACATGAAGGTTAATTGAGGAGTTTCGCAATTATAACATATGTAATACATTACATAGGGGCTGTTGACTTTTTTTCTATCAAGCCCAGTAGGGGCTAAGTTGTCTGTCTGGATCGGGAGACCGATGGGTTAGAGGGAGCAAAGAGAGGGGCTTGGATTATTTCTGTGGCGTTTCTGGTAATTAGTTTGTTTGAGGTGGCTTAATGATGACAAGTGAGGGGTCCTGGCTTATTCGATGCGAGGCCATTTTGGCTTAATGATGAAGCTGTAAAGAAACACTCCTGTATGGCTGAGAATAAAGAAATACAAGTGCATGCTTTCCAAAGATAAATCATAAGAACTAAAATACATGTACATGGCATGTTTCCTTTTAAGTTATTATTGATTRGAAACACTATAGGACAAAATATTTAAAAACGTTATGAATTAATTCCCTTTTGAAATTCCTTTACATTAGGATTGCAATTTAATTTTATGTAACTATAATGTTTTCTTCAGCTGGCATATCATTTCTAATTTCATGGTTAATGATCCCTCCCACATGTATACCTTGTTACCTCATAGAGAAGGTTCTTTCTTTATTTGAATATCCTGAGTGCTCTATGCACTGCTAATTACATTTTTTACTCCTGTAGATCTGAGTTTGGCTTGTGGAAAATGACTGAAACTAGGTCATGATGATTCTACAATCTGCTTGCAACTGCACAATTCACTTCAGTCGTATCCCYTCATGAGTAGGATGGTAAGTTGCGTCTGTGCGAACCTTAATCTTCCTATCTACTGTATATGTGAAACGGGCTCTTTTGATCCTACATTTTTTACACTGAAATTTGTTTCAACACTAGAAGTAGAATCCAAGTAGGCATACAAACAGAGCAAAATATTCTTGCTTCCTATGCATAACTACAAAATATTCTTGCTTCCTATGCATAACTACAAAATATCCTCCTATTAGACTTAACATCCCTGCGAGCAAATCATAGCTATCCTCCCTCCTATCTTCTTGACAATCGGAGTTCRGTGAGCTTGCTTGAAGCTCTGTCAAAGAAGCCCTAGAGTTTGATCCGGACAAAACTAGTGAGTGTCGCCTTCTCGAAGCAAAGTCTTGGTAGGGTTCCTTCTTTCTCTTTTGTTCCATGACCGACGAATTTAGGATGAGACAGATTAGGGGAGAAGAAAGACAAGAAAGARGAGACTCTCGTGGGTTCATAATCTGCATAGGTTTTCTTTCTGTTTTTCCTAAGTAGATAAGTATTTGCTCTCCGTGCACAGTTGCTAACTTTACATAGGTTTACGTGGTAAATGAATTTTTCATACACATTTAACAACCCAGCAAAGCAGTAAATATTTTAAAATCAGCTTCTTTACCTTTCATCATCACTCTATTGATTTTCTGCTTCTTAGTCTGATAATTATATATTCATCWCTCACCAGTCCACAACAACATCAACGTTCCATCTATTTAAAAATAACATGTTCATTTAGAGTCACTTTCAAGTTTTCGTGTAACTGTGATTGAAGAACAATAGAACAGCATTTATGTAGATCTAATTATATGCAAATTCACTTTGTTATGGTGATTCAATTTCTATTTGTGTGATTAGTGATGGTTACGCAAATAAACGTCGGTGTGGGTCATAACAACTGATCATGAAACCTTGCATGCTGATACCAATTTCACCACTGTTGCCTCGACCTCTGCCTGATATAATGTGATTTTTTTTAGAAATCCCAACATATCTGTGTAGATAGAGAAAAATGGGAGATGGTAAAGAGGGAAGAGAGACCTGCATGTGCTGTTGGATGAGATACAAAATGGATAGAACAAGAAGTGAAGTATGTTAGTCTGTTAGTGGATGAGAGACAGAAGGGGGAGGAGGACAAAAGTTTTCTAGAGAGAGGAGAACCAAGAAAGAGGAGGCTTTTATTTCTGATCGTGTTTGAGCTGGCAAAAAACCCTGCTTGGAACGTCTGAAAAAACAGTATGCGACGGTTTTGTAAAACCACATTAAAGGAACCTTTTGTGCATATCAATCAAGGGCTTTTTGGTCATTTTATTTGCCTTGTTTCTACACGAATAATAAAAGCCTGGATAGGATGTCTATTGATGCCAAAATTTGATGGTGCAAAGTATGTTTGATTGAAAAGAAGCCTCATAATACATCAGCTACGAAGGGGCTTGTGTGTATCATATCATTGATAACCCTTCTGCAGTTTATACATACTCCACTGCCTTTTTGCTTTTTGTTTTTTTGTCTCAACCAAAACTGCATGTCAAATTTTGTGCATGATGAGTCACAAGTCTGATCTTTCTCCTTACCCTTTGTGGGTGCACCATCCTAATACTATCACAAAGGATGAACCTACGATGCCCTAACCATGTGAAGGCCAACAACGGGCAAGTGTCACAAGGACCTCCCAGTTAACCCTTGTCCGAATCCAGTTAACCAGAAGCAACAACCACATCCAAACTGATTGATCACTTCCACTCAAAAGAGAACTACAAAAGACAAGGAAGATAAATAGCCATGTACAAGACCCTTGCCTCTGAAAAGCTGAAGTCAATGGATAACAAAGTTACAGGTTAACGGATGCAAACCCTAGAGAACCTTGAGGGACTAGGCGCGTTATTGATATGATGGTGAGGAGTTGGTAAAGGAGGAGCTTTAGTTAATGCTGAAAAGGTGAAACTAGCAAGCGGAAAAATGAATTGAACTCTAGAATTTTGAATTTCAGATTCCTCTGTGATGAAAACCGTGCGACCACCCTGCTTGGCTGCTTCTACCATCGCCTGCCAGCACTGTGTCGGGTCCTCTGCGCTTGCYCTTTCTGAACCGCTCATTGATGGCCATTTCACTTCGTCTTGTTGCAATGCATGACCATTCACGCTGTCGGTTTTATTGGAGGTTCAATGGCTCCTTTTCTGTCTCCAAGAGGAGTCTCCCTTGGTTGCCAGATATCACCAATGCTTCACAAAGAGTAATTTTGTTTTTCTCCATGATCTGGCCTAAATATTCGTCCTATTTCCAGATTTGACTGGCTTTAGTGTTATCCTGTTTCGTGATCACGACCTTCGTCAGAGACATCAATCTGCATCTCTGCTACTGCTACAAAGATTTGAACTCATCATTGCCACTCCTAGGTTACTGAACTACTYTTAGGAAGCATATGAGTGAATATATCAATGTATAAATGTTCTATAATGCTCTTTCTGTTGCTCATTAGGTGCAAGTAAAACATATATATGACCTCTCTTCTTTTTTCTTTCATAATCAGACCTCAAAAAACTGATGTTCCTGTAATTGGGTCATGGATTTGTGTTGTGTACCTTTCCATTACCATTCCATATTGAAATCAGATTCACCAATGTCATTAATGACTCCAAAACCCAAGTGATGATAAACGGCACTCAAGCACTTCAGCACCATGTGGACCTTGGCAATTTCACTATATCAGTCTTCGTTTGTGACAAATTAGCTAATAACGTACACATGCATCCAGGTAAGTGGTGAACAAATTTTGCTGGCAAAAGATTATAAATTCATGGGGTGTACTACTGTACTTCTGCGGGCACACATAAATTTGTGCACCCTGTAATTGTTAGTTCACCAGCAAATGCATGCATTCATGATCCCCCATGTGTATTTGATGATGGCGGTGTCATCCTGAAATGTTTCACATTGAATTTTGTATGGTTAGTACATCTTTATGCTATGTGTTTATTTTGCAGCTTATAGCATCAGGATAACCTATCTATCATGTTTTTTCAGAAGCAAAGAGAACAACCCAAAGTCCCTTGCCAAATGGAAATGGAGGTTGATAGAATCAGCAACTTACCAGGGCATATTGTCGACAAAMTTTTGTCCCTTTTAACACTAAGGGATGCAGTAAGGACTAGCATATTGTCAAGTAAGTGGAGATACAAGTGGCTGAACCTTACAAGTCTTGTGTTTGATAATCAATCTGTGCTAGTATCTTCCCAAGACCCAACAATCATTAAAAATAAGATGGTTAAGATTGTTGATCATGTCCTCTTACTTCATAACGGTCTGATTMACAAGTTCAAGCTTTCTCACCGAGACCTCCAAGGTGTTTGTGACATCGATCGATGGATTCTCTTTCTTTCACGAGGGTCTGTTAAAGAATTTATCCTTGAGATATGGAAGGGTCAACGCTACAAGCTACCTTCTTCGTTGTATTTGTGCGACAAGTTATCTCATTTAGAGCTATTTAACTGTTTGTTAAAACCTCCTTCAGCTTTCAATGGATTTAAGATCTTAACCAGCCTTGATCTTCAACACATTACAATGGACCAAGATGTTTTTGAGGATCTGATATACAGGTGCCCATTACTCGAGAGGTTAACATTGATGAACTTTGAGGGATTTGCCCATCTCAAGATTCATGCTCCAAAACTTACTTTCTTCGACATTGGAGGTGTCTTTGAAGATGTCAATTTCGAGAACACCTTCCATCTCTCTACTGTTTCCATTGGGTTGTATGTCAATGTTGGCAATGATCACGAGCCTACTATTGGAACTACGAGMAAGTTGATCAAGTTTTTTGCTTCTTTGCCAAGTATTCAAAGACTCGAGGTTCAAAGTTTCTTTTTAAAGGTAAAAGTCATTAAACTCTCTGTTTCCTTCATTCAGCTGGACAGAGGATGCAGGCCAACAAATTACAATATTAATCTAGTATTTCCTTGTCTGTTTCTAGTTTCTAGCAGTTGATATGGTGCCAAGGAGGTTGCCTACTCCGTGTATGGAACTGAATTATCTGTCACTACGTGTAAATTTCAATGACATGGACGAGTGTCTGGCWGCTCTTTGCATTCTTAGGAGTTCACCCAACCTTCTGGAGCTAGAAATGTTGGTGAGTTTCTTGTACATTTCTGAGCTTTGAACCAGTGCCTTTGCCATAGCTACTAATCTCTCTTAACTTTTTGTAAAATTTTGTTTTACAAGCCTGGTTTTTTTATGGAAACAGCCTCTCTACCCTTTGGGGTAGTGAAAAGGTCTGCAAATATCTTATATCTGCTTGGAATTTACTGTGTTTGGTTTGGTTTAGAAATTTCTCTCTAAAATTGTTGAACCAATTGTGTAGGCACGACCAGACGAACAGCCTGGTCCAAGAGCAGTTACGAAGAACTTGATGGAAGAAGACTACCAGAATTGCTTTTTTAACCAGCTACGGTTTGTGAAAATTGCTGGGATTTTTGGGGTTCCGAGAGAGCTGAATTTTATCAACTTTTTGCTTGGGAATTCGCCAATACTGGAGAGGATGACTGTTAAGCCTGCTTCTCAAGAGGGTGGGTGGGAGTTGATGAAAGAATTGCTRCGGTTCAGACGAGCTTCTGTACATGCCGAAATCATTTATCTGGATCCATAATTCATCAAAGTACAGCGCTGTTTGATGCTTCTTAATTGTATTATAAGTATGTTGGGTGAAACAACCAGTTTGTGTAGTCCTTTTAACCTAAAGGGTTTGGCAGAGAACAGGTGTGGCTCTGAAAGATGCTGATGGAATGACTCATGGGGTCTTTTATATGCTAAACAACACTGAGCTCTGATTCTAATAATAATCAGCTTTAAAAATAAGTGTGTATGTATTTTTATTTTGGTTTATACCCGTATATGTCCACTTTAAATTATGGGATAGAAACTTTTATTAGAAAGGCTAAAATTGTCCTGTCCTTTAATTATACATTTTTAAAAGTGTATTATTTATTCTGAACAATAGGAATTAGGTTGCACGCAAATCGAGTTTTGATAAAATCATTCTTGAATATGAGAAAAATAAAATGACAAAAGTCAATTTTTATCAATATATGAAAGATTTAATAGTTTTGTAATTTTAATATTGTTTTAAAARGATTTAATGTCATTTCTTTCTTTTCCTCCCACATCCAAGAGGAAGGTTTTAGAAAGAAACTTATCAATACTTTCCTTCCCCTTCCTTTCCTTTCTCTCTTAAAAAAAGTGTTGAAAAAATGAGTTTTTTTTTTACTTTCCTCCGTTTTTCCTCTTTTTCATTTCCTTTCGTTGATAAAAAAAGGTTTTGAGAACGTAATATTAAAGTTTCTATGATCTTACTCTCTACATTTGAGTTAATGTAGGGAACATAAWGCATAAAAACTAGTGTGAGAAGCATAATAATACATTGTTACTCCAATCATGCTCCATATATTAACATACACAAAGAGCAAATACACGCACAYGTTCGCACACACACATACATACATACATGCCCACATACATATATATCTATACTACATATATAAGCATTTAAGACAAAGTCTTAAATACAACTCTTTAAACACAAGTTACAACTATTTTATGCATGATTTTCAAAAAACTCTTAAAGACAAGTCACAAAGCACAATGTACAAGTGTTTTATGCATTGAGTTTAACCTTGTTTTTCTCTCTTCCTTTTCCAGAGACAATCTCTTCCGCCAAAAATGGGTAAGGTCAAAATGGGCTTTTTTCTGTTCTTATTCCTTTTCCAGCTTCCTCCTCTTTTCTAGCTTCCTCCTCTGTGCCTTCTTCCTTTTCATGATTCCTCCTCTGYGCCTTCTTCCCAATTAGTAAGGTCAGCCCTTTGCTTTCTTCAATTGCTGCAGCCTTTGCAGAAATAGCCGGCTCCCAAGACAATCTCATATGTGCATATAACCAGAAGTTTGAGGCTTTGATTTCTCCACARGTTCTTCAAAAYCCTAGCAATTTCTTTGAGGTATTGATTTGGTTTACATGTTCTTCAAAACTCAGGTTCTTAATGTTGTTTTTGATTTCGTTTTTGGATTTCATTTCTGGGTCTGTTTCCATTTCATCTTATTTGCAGCTGAGTTTTCAATATTGGATGATTTCRTTTATGTGTCCATTTCATCTTATACACACACACACACACACATCTGGCCACAAACAAAAAAAGTAAGATTAGAATTGGTGATTTGAGCCCTCCACAATCCTGAGGGGTAATTCTTCTTCTCTGAAGAATTAACTAGCAKGCGACATCAGGTTGATGCTAAGCATTTTGCTCAAGAAGTTGGCCTTGTTGACAATCTCTGTTTGTTTGTTAAAAGCTTTTCTAAAAAGGCTGCAACTATTGTGGAAGATCCCAAAAATTCTAGCTGTATTGTGGTATCTTTAATTTATTTTCTTATTGAATTCCATGTGGATATACTGGCATGTACCTCTAGATATATGATGTTCAAAAAAGTAATTTGATTTTTTCTTTTGTTGTTGCAGATTGAAGGTACAAGTTGAAGTCTGAGTTTGTGTTTTAGTTCAACATCCCATTAGGACATGACAAGAGCACACCGAGAAATTCTCACCTTTTTGGTTCCACCCAAACCTGACCTCCATGTGGGATATACTGTGTTGGTTTGTTTGCYTTGGTTTATAACTTGGATCCTGAAATTGACRAGGTAATAATAATGACTGTTTCAAGTTCTATCTCTCTTCTCCTGTCTATTTTTTTATGTATAATGTATTTGCTCATACACTTAGGGCCTACTGTTGTCAGCAGTTTGGGTTTTTCAATTACACGTTTGCTCCCCATTAGAAGCATTTGGGATAAAGAAAACATATGTTCACAACGTTACAAACTTCAGTTCTCCTGCCACTTCTTTTTCCAAGATATACAATAGTTTGCTTGAATGGTTGTGGAAGCCATTTATGTCTTTCTTTGAGATCCGAGTATTATTCTATTGATAGTATGAAGTCTGCCTCATTCTCATTATTGTCACTTGGTAGCCAATTTCAAATGGCAATAAGTTGATAATTCACATAAATTAGGACCTCATAAGCTCTTAGAGGAGATGTGAGGTAAAACAGCTTGGTCCATTTCGCTTTAGTTATCACTGCTTATTTGYCAAGAAATAATATTTTATACAGATTCGGGAGTATCATAGACGRCATCCATCAGCATGAGTTATTGACACCACTGATGAATACGAGCAATTACTCCAAGAGGAACCGCAAATTGAGTTCAGTGGAGAGGTTAGTACTCTTGATATATTTTCTTTTTAGATCGAAGTAGTCATGCTTAGCACTATCATTGGGTCTTATCATCATGAATTGTCAATTATTTGTTTTTCATCTTCACTTGAAACAAACGAGGGTTGAATGATCTTTCTAGGCAATGTTGTGGTTGAAGTATAAAACTGCGWTGGAGGTATTTGTCGACATATGGGAGAACCACCGTGACCTTACTTTCTTTGYTTTGATAGAGGAAATACCATATAAATATTGGAGGCAAGGATAAAATTTAGGGGGTCTCAGCAAAAAGCTAAGAGTTATGATGGAAACATACAAAGAAGAGCAAATTATTAATATGGAATATCTCTTATAACATGTGATTGTTACTTGTTAGCCACTTAAGTTTCTGTCATTTAGTAGAACTCATGGATTTTTGGAATTGGTATTAAAAGCCCTTTTTTCCCTGCACCAATAGAGCAGATCTCTTTCAGAAGGTTAACTTGTTTTACTCCATGTTTGTAGTTGTCGTTATGTCTATATTAGTGGGTAATTGAGGTTTTTTCCAAGTGTGGTGTCATTTGCAGGGTTCAGTTGAAACGGTCAACGCAACAGAGTGTTGGTTAATATATTTGGTTGCAAGGCTAGGTTAATATGGAGTTCAGAGCAMTTGGTTATTACATGTTGTAATCTTGATTCAAGTATCGAAGCAAGAGAAACTACACTAATGATATGTGCAAGGCATAAACATGTTGAGTGTCTTAAGCTTCATGTTGCTACCAATTTGGGTTTGATAGGCATAACAATGTTGTCTTTTGTAATTTTAAAATTTATTTATGGTGCAACTATGTTATTACTCCAATTACTCCTGTTGTTCAATAATACTTTTGTGCTTTCCATCTTTAATCGGACGATTTCTTCTTYGATCGAAAGYTGCTTTCATCTTCAATCGGACGCTTCCATCTATAATCGGACGATTTCTTCTTCGATCGAAAGCTGCTTTCATCTTCAAACAGGTATTGCTTTCATCTTCAAACARGTATTGCTTTCATCTTCAACCCTACTCAATCGAACACTTTCATCTTCCATCTATTGTTTATGGTTCTGTTTATGAAAACTGCTACTGCTTCTGCTTATGGTTCTG